ATAACATAGCACTGTCCGACAGCTGTTTGGTCTCTTTGAACTATTTCCGATGCCATGACCTATTGGGAACTTCATGGCTAGGTGGTCACTTGGAAGGGCGTGATCTTTGCCACTTGTGCATTGTCAGAACCCAATGTAAGCGAAAGCTCCACGTTGCCTTTCTGGATAATGACTCCACCACCAAATCCCTGTAGAGGAGTTCTTACTGCTTTGAGCTGTTTGGGAGAGATCCCCATTTAAGCGAAAGCCTCCTATGAGAGTATATTTGCCGCACTCCCATTATCAACCAGAATCCTCTTTACTTTAAAGTTAGCCACAATTGTAGAGACGACCAAGACATCATCATGAGGATACGATACTCCTTCCAAATCTCTTATCCCAAAAGTAATGTCTCTGAGTTTATCATGGGATTCCTTTGAGATATGAGCATGTTGGCGGGCGTATTGCTTTCGCCCACTACTTGTGTCTCCTCCAGATGCTATGCCTCCAATGATAATATTAATGGTCCCGACAGTGGGTTGAGCATTGCTTCAAGTTTCAGGCTCTTTCCGATTGTCACGATCATTCCTCGAGCGTTTATCACGACCAATGTAATTCCTTAAGAGCCATCTTTTAATGAGGGCTTCAATTTCTCACTGCAAGGCTTGACAATCCTCCGTGGTATGCCCATGATCTCGATGAAATTCAAAATACTTGCTCCTACCTCTTGTGTTAGGGGGCGACTTCATTCTTGAAGGCCACTTCAACTCTTTCGTATCTTTGATCTCCATTAAGATATTTGCCTTGGAGGTGTTCAACCGGGTGAGAGGCCCTGGTGGCCCTTCATTCTTGCGTTTTTCCCGAGGATGCTCTGGCCGGGAAACGAGATCATGTTGCTTCTTGTTCTCAACCTCTTCATGGAAAGGACCAAATCTCCTTGGATTCAGCATTTCCTCCATATTAATGTATTTTTTCAGATCGGGTAAGGAGCTCGGTTACTGTCTGTGGCGGGGTCTTTAATAAGGACATCTTGAAGGCTTCACATCTTATGACGTAAGTGAGGGCGGAGACAGTCGTTGTGATTTGCAGGTCGAGTATTTGAAGCTTTTCTTTATTAAACCTCGTCATAAAATCTTGTAGGGTTTCATTTGGTCCTTGGCGAAGTTGCATGAGAGAGCTTGCAGTCTTTTTGATACGTTTGCTACTTGTAAAGAAGGCTGAGAACTTATCAGCCAAATCTAAGAATGATGCTATGGAGTTGGACTCCAATGTCAAGAATCAATCCCTAGCAACATTAGTTAGCGTTTGCAGAAAGGCTTTGCACATAACTTGATCCGGTGCAACTTGCAAATTCATGACAACAGTATATACATTGAGATGGTTGATTGGGTTGGTCGTCCCATCATGCTCTTTAATGCGAGGATATTTGAATCTGTCGAGCATAGGATATGACAATATCTCTAGCGTGAATGGAGTGTTAGGGGTAAAACCCGTTGGCCCCCGAGCATTCCGTGGCAAGCCAGCTGTAATTCCTTCTTGAATGATCCGTGCAATCTTTTCGGAATCCATAGCAATCGATCTCAAGCCTAAGGCCATGTTACGAATACCCGAGGTCCCTACTCCGCCAGTTATGCGATTTTGTGCTCGGACTCGAACATCAGTCATAAAACCATCATGTTCTGCCTACACCGGTGACGGATGCGAACTTCTTTGACTTAGTAGCTGCGTTGGCGTGGCCATTTGCTGACAGAGCCCTTCAAAGGCTTCAGTTGTGATGACCACTGGCTGGGATGCAGGCACTCCTGACGACTCTTCTTGAGGAGCCGATTGATCTTCAGTAGGATGAGGGATGGAAATGGATGAGCTTGCGGGAGGAAGACTTGATCGCGTGTTAACCATGGCTTTTGGTAGCGATTCCCGCAGACGATGCCAATGATACTACCAAAAATCATACCTGTTGATTTCCCGAGCTTGAGGACTTTGAATGAACATGATCATAGTCTTCCGGTTCCTGAAACAAAGGCAGCAAGGTATGTTATTGTCGCCCCTCCGATACTTAAGTCAGAAAGGGAATTATATGCGTGAGGCTATAAACTGGAGAATAATGAAAACGTACATGAATAATGACCTACGGTTCTATATTTATAGTGGTGGGTGACATTCTCTTAGTAGGACTCAACTAGCTAGGTATCTCTATCCCACGGAGTCCTATTAGAGAAAGGAGTTGGACCGATGTCATAATTATATTTGGGATAAAGTCCTTGCGGGAGTAAAGTATTAAAGTAGTAAAGTGGGGCGAGAATTCCAAGCACATAGGAATCTTATTAGATCGATGACATCTGTCGTGGGTCATAAAGGAAGTTCAATTCCCAAGGACCACGCATGCTCGAGGAGGTAAATCACAGAATGAGAGCACCGTACAACACAAGTCATCGAGCATGATATCTCGAGGATGGCGATGCCCGATGTTCGCGAAATATTTCTTCCTATTTAAATTACCGCAAGTGTACGGGTCGTGACAAGTAATAAAGTGGACTTTAAAAGTCCGAGTATCGTCCCACAGAGAAATAGTAGTTCAATTTTATTTATTTTAGCCTTAACCGAAACTAATTGAATTAAAATGAATTTTGGAATCAAAAGCCCTAATTTTGGGAGAAATCCCCAAATTGAAAAACCCTAATTTCAAATCAAACCCTAATTTGGGGGAAATCCCCAAATTGAAAAACCTTAATTTCAAATCAAACCCTAATTACTTAAATTCACTTAACGAATGACTCAATTACGAAATGTTATGAAAAATAAATGAAATGTATTGTCAATTTATGAAAATCTATGTAAAACGAATGCACTAGGATCACGAATCCCCAAATAATTACTAATTTTCACAATTTTGATAATTCAACAAGAATTTGACAAATCAATGCTCCTAAATCTATTCAATACTCTCTCTCGAGATGTATTGAACCTATTCTCATAAATCATCAGCCTATATCTCTATGACGGATGCAATTATACAAGAACGCATATAATCTTTTTGTGAGCAATTAAAGATTTACATACGGCATAGGGGTATATTTCTATCCCCTATCGGACCCTATGATGAATTATATATGTCGAGTTTAATCTAATTTTCTCAAATTCAGAATTAAACCACCAAGTTCACACAAATTAAGTGCACATTAATTGTGGAAATAAATAAACCAATATAATCCATTCAAATATCTCATCGAACTAATAATTCAAAATCATGAAATAGCAAGTTTAATAATAATTACATGGTTCATCGATCACCTAGTTGCAGAAATCTAGCCTATCATGATAAAAATAACGAAATCTAACAAAGTATGAATAAAATACATCACCGGGTTATCAAAACTTGAAGAAATCTTGTAAATCTTGCATCAATTCTTGTTCCTGCCTTCAAATCTACTCCAAGATGAATGTTTTTGCCTCCCAATTCGTTCGTGCGGCTTCTGGATGTTTTGTTGCTATTTAAACCCGTCCAAATTAGGTTACCAAATGAGTTGCAATCATATAAGGAAACTGCAAAAATCGGGGAAAAATTATACCTATGCGACCGCATAGGCATAAGAAAAATGGCATTTTTAATCCCTGGAGGTTCACTCGCGACCGCATAGGTTTTATACTATGCGACCGCATAGTAGAGCTAACTTCTAGTTTGAGTCATTTTGGTCCTCAAGTTTCATTCCTTCACTCCTTGACCTCCTCTCTTGTTCCTAGTTGCTCCAATGTTTCCTTATAACTTTCAATTGGTGCTTGGCTTGATCAATTGCTTGATGTGGTCATCGGGTCAACTTTCAGATAATTGCAATTTGGTCCCTGAATTTTCAGTTTGCTCCAATTTGGTCCTTTTTCGGCTCTTTTCTCCTGAATTCCACTATTTCCATAGAATTACGTACATTGCATGAATTTGACAAAGTTAAGTAACAATTCAATCATTTTACTTGTATTTAAGTCATGTTTGTGATGTAAATAAGTGTGTAAAAACACACTTATCACCTGATCACAGCAATGGTGAAATCTCAAGGAGAGTCATTTCGAGTCTTCGAGGTGTGCTGGTCGAGCTTAGCCAAAAGTTGGCACATCGGGTGGAATAGTACTTTTTTGAAAAGTAAGTGATTGAAAAAGAAAAAAAATTCTGTTTTATTTTATGAAAGATTGAGTAGTTGAAAATAGGAGAGTAAAAAATAAAATTTAATGGAATGAAAATTAATAGAGGCCGAACGAGGTTGAGTTTGTCCAAATATATATATAATTTTGAATCGAACAAATTTTTTTTATTTTTTTTAAGGTTTAAACTTGTAAAAGTTTAAAATTTGACCTTGTCGCCTTACCATGGAATTTATGCTCAGATAAGAATCTATTAAAATTGTTGAAAATTAAATTATACCCCCTAGCACTTGTTTTATAAAGAATTTTGAAAAGAGATTCTTTGAAAAGTGTTTTTGTAAATACGTGATGGAAATATAACGAAAAGTTTGTGGTTACATGTAAAACCTTTTTTTTCTTTTATTTGGCAAGATGTATAATTAAAAATGAGTAATTCTGAAAAAAGTCAAGTCAAACAACGACCTTGTTTAATTACGTTAATGATATACTGCATTTGTGTTGGAATCCTGAAAAGTACTGTATATTGATTACTAGTAACCCAGTAGGCAAAATAGTTGGAACCCAATATGAGTAATTCAATTGGGTTTATTAAGAAAACCTTTAAGGGTAACTTAGTGGTTAAACTTTGAGTTTGCCCAATGGACTTAGTTGAGGTGCACGTAATCTGACCCGAACATCCATGGTTATCAATGAGAAAAAAATTGGTTCGCTAAGAAAAATCTTGACTCAAACATACTACTCTCAACCTCGATCAGTCGCTAGTGAACTTTACAGACAGATTTTAATTGGAGCATTATAGATGGTAATATGTACTCCTTCGATTTCTTTGTTTGCCAAAGATAAACATGGTTAAAACACCGGTGCACATTTCACACTTCAAAGGCTTTCTCTGTACAGTAAGAGGGACATTCATATTAAAATTTTCCACAACAATTTGGGATTACAGATTGACAAAATACCCTTCAGTAGATACTAATACCATCAGATTTATCCATCATAATACTTCCCAGAATGGCAATGAATTAAACTTTCCATAAAAACTCTGTTCCAACATGTATTTTCTTTTCTATTATTATGTGCCGGTTAACTCTGATTCACTTTTCTCGCCCTACAAGTAGCCTCTCTTTAGTTCACACTTGAATAAGAAGAGATCTTCGAGGAAAAACAATTTCTCATGTCATGGGAAAGGGGGGAAGACTCGTCTATCAGTGGGCTCCAATCTTTCTGCAGCAAGGTTGAGTGGATCAACTGTCCAACTTACGATTAAATAATAACTGGTCTGTTCTTGTGGAATGACATCTTTGAATGTTAGAGGTCATCTAGCAGGTCTTGGCCGCCCCCTGCTATATTTAGGTGGGTTTGTTTTCGCAACATCAACGGTTATCATCCAGCCATTGATGATCTGAAAGCATCAAATGGAATTAAGTCGGCCTATTTTGATACTTGATCAGTTGAAGTTCTAAATTTTGCTTATAGTATTAACAAATGCAGCTACCTTGCCATTCATTTCTTTGAGAGCAGCACTAGCAGCTTCTTCAGTGGTGTACTGTACAAATGCATAACCTTTTGACCTTTTCGAGATCTTGTCCATTATGATTTTCACTGTCATAAGGGAAGAAAATGTCCCCAACAAAGTCAGCGATATTCATTTACATCGTTAAAGTAGATTATCTCATGCATATGAGCATGTACCTTCAACTAGTTCACCAAAACCTTCAAAAGCTGCACGTAAAGTCTTCTCAGACGTATAAAAGGATAGACCTGAACAGAAGGAACATATAACAGTGTTTTCAGTTCAAATGGAAAATGGTATCAGGGAAAATTTTAGCTTGTGTAATGTTGCCAGCAAAAGTTCTACCTGCTTATGAAATGATGGCTACTTAAAACCATCGCAATGACGAGGTCGATGATATAATGAATAAGTGGGAGATGAGATGAAATTGATAAAACCATTTACCAAAAAGATGAAATTCTATTGATCCAAAAACATTTATCAAATTTATACATCATAGCTTCATAATTCTATAGATCTCTTTCCTTTTGCTATTCATGGCAATATCACTCAGTTAAAAATGGTTTTACGTCTTTCATTAGTCTTCTCTTCTTCTAAATGTAAATCCTGACTCCCTGTGCAACAATTCATTCCGATTAATTGACGAAAATGACCCAACTTTGAGAGGTACTATTAATATAGAGGACAATTCATTTATTTATTTCTATTCCTCCATCGGATATGGATGAATTAGCTTGGATCCTTTAAATAACTAGGAACAGAAATCAATAGACATTTGCTAACCCATTGATCAAAACAAATAATGGAACTTTATTAGACCATAACTATACGAACATCGAAAAGTGTTAATTAATGTCATCGTCAAGACAAAAAGCATCAGCATCAAATGCCAGCCTTCCCAATAGTAGAACATTCACTAGTAATAATTAACATGCAGAACATGGTCTTATATTTCAAACAACATTAATCATGGTATCAGAAGCTCATAAGTAGAATATATTCACATGTGTATGGACTGAGGCTTACCAGTTACAAAGAGCTTCTTTGTGCTAACATTGGTCGGTAGATTTGATGCTGAAGAATTCTCAGAGGGATTAGGCAGCTTTAAATTCTTCCCTGCCGGATCCATGTAGGCTTCTTACATTTAATGCAAGATTCATTGACACAACCATAAGGAGAAAAACAAAAGCATAAGAGAAAGCAATAGTAGTGATAGGATTTCCCACCCTATTTATGCTAATATATTTCCAATAGAAAGCAAAACATCGTTAGACTATTCTTTGGATTGTGTTATGAAACTGTTCATCAAATAGTTCAGCAAAGAAATAACACAACCCAGTTCTACTAAAGCAAGCGCGTAAGAGGATGGCAATACTAATAATTGGAAATCCACCCTAATTATGATAATTTTTTTCCTGTAGTAGGATTATCGTTCTCTTGATTATCGTTTAGTATCATGTTATGAAATAGCTCTCAAATCTGTTAAAATGGAAATTGCAAGAGCATGTTAAAATAAGACAATTGTATTGTGAACAATTAACTACTTGCCTTTTTCATGCAACATAGACAATATATTTGTTCAGCCCTTGTTTGAGCCACATTATTGTCATAAGAATGTTTTTTTGAACAATGTACTAATAGGAAATGTGTGGTTAAAAAATAAAGAAAAATTATGGATTTGCGTGTAATATTATCTTATTGAAAAATGTGTAGTTGAAATGATGTCAAATCATTGTTTAAGAATATATTTTTTTAAAAGAATGTGAGTTAAACACAGCCTTAATATTAGTCAATTTGCTGGAGAAAAGCAAAGTGAGATTTAAAAATCAAATTTTATTTTGCCACGCATAATATATTTATTTAAGAACTAGCTTCACACAAAATCTTGCTTAGATATGTAGCTTTCTTTAACAAGGTTAGTTTCTCATTATCTTTTGAATGGAAGAATTTCCTGTGTTTAGGGACAAGATGCAATGAACATAATATTATCTCAAAAACACACCAAGTTGAAATGTATTAAGAATGAGTGAGGTGAAAACAAAGCCCCGAAATTAACAGCTGCTTATGTGGCACCATAATTGAGTACAAAATATTCTGAAAACTTTCATTAAAATCAAAGAACTTGATGACAAACCTCCATAATTTTTAATATCTGACCCAAAATTCTCATCCGGCTGGATGGATAGAACACCGGGCACACCTACAAATGAAGACATTATTGACATACTAGCAACACAACATGAATATGGATGCAGTAGTGCAGAATACAGACCAGCTAATTCTTGAGCAGACTCTTCATCTAGCTCACAGCAGAAGCCATAATTTGATTGCCACGAAATGTGATATATGCACATCTGAGCATCTTTTTCACTGTATGACAACAAGTTTTACTCTTAGAAACAACTTAGCAAATAAGAAAATTAGAATCGTGAAGGATTCACATTAAAAAATTACTCACTTCCCCAAAACCCTCATTAAAACTTGGACATAATAATCAACCACCTGTGGCTTCCTCATGACTCCAATTGCTGGCCTTTCCATTTGAACAAGCCAGTATTTAGTTGTACCGGCAGGAAACAATAATGTGCTCCTGGAGGATGAGCTAGACTGAGAGTTCAACACAAGTTTTGAATGGCTGTAGTCTTTCTCCATGGAGTCAAAATCAGGATCTGGCTTAACCAATAGTACTCCAGGTATACCTATATTTAGAAATACAAATAAGCACTAATTACCCAAAAATCTTCTTGGAAACCCTATTGAATTCCAAATCAAAGAATTCAGTAAAATAAACACAATTCGGAAGTATAGGACAAAAATGCATCAGTAAATAAATTTAAAGTTTACCCGCTAGCTCGTAAGCATGTTCTTCATCGATGTCACAGCAGAAACCAAAATGAGTATCACAGGAAGCATGATATATACACATCTGAGCCTCCTTATCACTATTCAAAAAACAATGAAAATTATGCCTCCTTTTCACTATTTAAACAACAATGAAAATTAAAAATAAATATTCAAGAGTTCTATTCAGTTGCCTGACCTAACAAAATGATTTATAATCAAACCAAGAACTATATCCGTAAGCATATATCATAAACATTCATTCAAGAAAATGAAAAAACTGTCAAGTAAAATCCATTTTGCTTAAATAGGAAACCAAACTTGAGCTACTCCTGTTACCAAGATTCGATTTTAAGATGGAATTTCAAGATTCAATAGGAACAAAGATCAAATTTTGGGGGATTCAGAACCATACCCACCTGCCAAAAACTCTTTCCAGTGTCTTGACGTAGTAATCAATGATTTGCGGTTTAGAAGAAAGCTCAAGTGGAGGTTTATCGACGACCACCATCCAATGTCGCTGCTTATTATTATTGTTGTTGTAGTAGTTCGCAAAGGAGGCAGTTGAAGAAGTAGGAGATGTTGAAACTGAAGAGGCGTAACAAGAACTAGAAAAGGTGAGAGTGGGAAAGGAGTTGTGGGGTGTTGTTTTGGTGGGAAAGGAAGCTATGAGCGCGGGGACTTTCCGGTGTGGAGTTATGGGAGGTTTAGCAGAGATTGTAGCGGACGAGGAGAGGATTGCTTCCATGGCTCATGCGAGCAGCCGTTTCTGGCTCAATTCACTTGAAAGGATAATTGGGCAAATTTTGCAATTTATGCCCATTGGCTAAACTCAAAATAACACATTGGTGGTCAGTATTATTTTATTCGCACGAAACTCACGTCTTGATTGTGAGTGTGATGTCATTTTTTGTGTCAAATATTATATTTATTTGGCATTTTCCTAGCATATATATGCAAGTAAATTTACTAAACTCAGTTTGATATATTAGACTTCAAATCAATAATTAATTTTAATAACATATTTTATACAGTCATAATTTTTCAATTATATACTTTTTTTTTAATTAAAATATACTAAAATTTTAATTTAATCCCCATCTAGTAGATAAATAAATTTTTTAAATTAGTTTCTTAATATAAAATTTTCCATGAAATGTGTAAACAAGTATTCAAATAATTTACTTGACGTCGTAGTTATGAAAGAGAAATTTATCTACAATAGAATACAACAAAGGGAGGGGGGGGGGG